CTGCCATTTCCTTCTGATATTCATCCCTACTGCCATTCTTCTGATATTCATCCCTATTGCCATTTCCTTCCGATACTCATCCCTATTGCCATTTCCTTCCGATACTCATCCCTATTGTCATTTCCTTCTGATACTCATCCCTACTGTCATTTCCTTCCGATACTCATTCCTACTGTCATTTCCTTCCGATACTCATTCCTACTGTCATTTCCTTCCGATACTCATCCCTATTGTCATTTCCTTCCGATACTCATCCCTATTGCCATTTCCTTCTGATACTCACGTCCACTTTTTGTCCCCTATACACTCCTATCCATTCTTACATTTAATTCCTTGGCCGTACTCACGGCGCCGAGGTATGTGAAAGAATCCCATCGTCTCACGCTAAACTAGTGCTATACTCTACCTGGAGGATTTGCAGATGCAGGTTCTCGTAGTGCTGAGTCTTCGTGTTGGGGAACCCCACCATAGCGCCCCGAGCTTTCCATGCGTGAACGACCCCAATTCAGCAAGGAGTCACCCTCGCACTTGGGTACAGTGTCATGCTTATGCATGGCGTCATCAGGGGGAGCCTCGCTGGGTGTCCTTGTGCCAGCTGGGGGAGAATTCAAAAAATAAAACAAGATTGTCACCGGTACCAGCGCCCCTGTCAGGGAAAAAATTGTCAATTTAGCGTTTGTCGGTCTCAACACTGGTGAAATGGCAAGGCCTAGAAACCCGCTTAGGCTTGAAGCCAGAAGATACATCCCCATCACGGCGCCTTTCATGCCGGTGGGCGCCGCAACGTAGGTCACCTCCAGGATAGTTGTGTCCACCAAAGCGCTCGCGACACCCTGCATCGTGTAGGGTAGAACCAACCACCCAGAGGGCACCATTTCCATCCCAGGGTACAAATGATAAAAGTCATCCTCGTCATACATTCCACGGTGATCTATACCCAGCTGCACAAAGCCACACCACAGCATAGAAATTATCATTATGGCACATCCAACCACTACACGCCCTCGCATAGGAGGGCATCGGTTAGGAAACATACGTGGAAACAAGACGCGGTCAAAAAACACCAACGAGACAAGAAGTGCTACAGTATTGACGTTGTTGAAGATTTCTGGGGGAATTTGCGGTGGGAGACTCGTCGCTGATGCCTGCAAAATCATGTTGGTGCTGAACTGGTTTGTGATTAGCCAATAGACGGGCACTGCAACAAGGACACGGCAGACGGAAACAATAGATTTTGCGTCATCCACCCACACCTGTTCAAGCTCATCAGCGTGATGTGAGACGCGGTGGCTTGACTCTTCGTCTTGCTTCGCTGCGTCGTCGTCAGGTTTAGGCGCTAGAGGCTCACAGTCAATGCTTGTTGGAGCTCCACCAAGACCCTTTTCCACCGAACTCCTTGGTTCCACTGACGAACCAGGAGGGTTTAACAAGACAGTATGCGATGTCGTCACGTCAGGGCAATTGTCTCTGAAAACAGAGTAGCCAGCGTAGTCAAACAGGTCCCAACGGTGCGCAGACAGAAACGCGTCATCACGCACACGCCCAGTGGCAAAGTACCACCGCATGCAAATGGCACGGAAAAAAACGCGTACCAGCACAAACTCGGGCACCGGTTTATTCTTATGAAACCGGCGATACATGGCACTAAATAGCAACAACCCCAAGAGACACGATGCTGCTGATACAGTGAATCCGAGATAGAAACCAGTTGTGTACAACACCGAGCCAATCTTAACACTTCGCTTATCCAAAGAGCGCAGTAGCGGAGGCACAAAGATGCCAACAAGGGACCCAGTATTTGTTACGACGTAAATCCAACGAAAAAGCTGCGAAACCACAGCTTCGCGTTCTTGCTCAGAATCTTTGTAGGCCTCCGAGACAATATCGGCCATCAAGGGATTGGTGCACACTTTCATCCCACCATACCCTATCGCGAAAAACGCGATACCAAAAGCAAACAAAATTAAACTCCCGACAGTCGGTTCTAGCGGAAAGTTATCGTACATAAAAGGGTAGGACGAGATAGCCACCAACGACAGTCCGCCTGCGTATGTTGCCAGGGAAACAACAAGGGAAAATGGACGACCCCAATGCCCATCTGAGACAATGGAGGAAATGCATGCGGCTGCTGGTGTGGCAGCGTATAGGCCGTTAATGACAGCATTTCCTGTGCTCGGGTTCCAACGCAGCATACTCGTGCAGTACATCATCAACATAAAAGTAGTTCCGTAGTATCCCAGCCTCTCTGTAAACTCCACGGCCATTGTAATCCACACCCCGGAGGGAAACCCAAGCAGCATCATGGCAAAGATCAACTGTCAATCCCCTCTTCGCTGTTCTCCTCCCTCTCCGAGCCGCTGTAGCTATGTTTTTTTTTTACTGTGATTATTGATAAAATTAAAAGCGTCAAAGCAACCTATACTCACTTCTGAAACGCGTTACTTCAAGCAGGGAGAGAGAAGAGCCCAACAGCAACAAAAGATCAAGACCGAAATGAAATAAGAAGAACCGTTAAAAGACACGGCACGTAAAGAATCTCTCTTTTCATCTCTTTCTCTCTCTCTTGAATGATGTTCTCGACTCGCCGAACAGGGCAGGTCTTCACAAGCCATCGTCGCCGCTTTTAACCCCGACTTTTCGTTATCTTTTTGCTTGTTTCCAGGCTCCCTCCCTCAGCCTTTCTGAGGGTAGTATGGCATTTTTTCCGTGTGCTCTGTGCATGGGGACTCTTGCCGACGTTACTCGAATAAGTGTTGGGTTCATCATTAAAAATGAAGACAAAAAAAAACAAAAAAAAAGAAGGGATCATAGAGAACACAGAAATGTAAAGTTCTCTACAATGGCTTCCGGGGGTTCCACTCCTGCAGCAGTTCGGAGCTTTTGCAGACAACGTGAAGCACAGGAAGCAGCATAGGCATTTTGTATGATTCAGAGCGAAAGAGTTCTATAAGCGACCATGACAGATCCACCTCGTAGTACTCCGCCATCTTTACCCCATCATCTATCTTGAAGACGACAACGATGTCATCCATGTGACGATATCGACCGCGATCGTCCCAGGGGAATGGCATTAGTTCGTCAAGGAGTTCTTCCGTGCTGATGTTGCATGTGACATCCTGCATAAAGTCTGTTTGCTGATATTCGTCATACATAAAGAGGACAGGCACATGCAGAAAGCCATCCGCGTCAAAGAACGGCTGATGGTGACCGTACACCCCCATCTGCTCACTACTCACCTCCGGCGTAGACGACAAACGAATGCCATGAGATGTGAGTGCACGCAGTATACCACACGTTTCAGCTGCCTTCACTCGTGTGCGAATGTTATCCTTCTTTTCCTTCTTTTGCGCCCGCTCCTTCGCTTCACGGCATACACGCTCCAATTCTGCAAACTCTTCCAACGCAAAACCTTCAGGTGGTGGGTTTGTGCAGCGTCCCTTTGACAAAAGGTCAATGGCAAGATCGTACTTATTTACACGCTCCGCACACCGTGCGGCACGATAGTAAGCCTTGCTATATTCAGGATTGAGAATGATGGCACGCTGTGCGTCCTCAAGACCATGACCGAAGTTCTGAATGATGTACTGTGCAAGACTTCGGTTGGCATACAATTGTGAATTCAGAACAGGATCCTTGCATTCTGCATTCAGGCCTTCAGTGTAGCAATGGGCCGCCGCGCGGGCAAGATTCTCTTTGTTCACCTGCTCTGGATTGAGGGCGAGCTGAATGGCCTTGTTGCCATGTTGTTTCCTACTCTCTGCAATGTCCTCAGGTGGGACCTCATCGTAGGCGATACTAGCAAGGGCAGCACAATCGGCATTCATCTTGAGATCCTTGTCTGTGATAGTATCCATAAAAAGCGGCATTTTTTTCCATGCCTCATCGTTGATCTTATAGTCTCCGCGGCGGCTCCATATTTCGTCAATCTCATCCTGCAGATCCCGGATGTGGTTATGCTGCTCTGCCGTCAGCTGCTTGTCAGACAGTACTAAACTGCTCAAGTTCATATTCCTTCCTCAGCGCCCTGCCAACTCCCGCCGCAGCCGCAGTGAGGCACCAGGGAGCAGTGAAAAACAAAAAAAGGAGAAACAACAGAGGAGTATGTAAAAAGAAGGGAGAATACACAACCGAAGCGAGAGAATAAAGGAAGCGCGCATCACTTCCCTCACGCCTTCCAAACCTAGCAGTACGTCACACACGACTCAGGTGGTTGACCGCAACCACCCCCTCACAGACGCCGGGAGAAAACCCAAAACGACCCAAGTCAAATACTCCATAACGCCTTTTTAAATCATGCACACACACGCACGCAAAAAGAAGAAAACAAAGCAGAGCAACAAGAAAAGTGAAAAAAAGTAAAAGAAACAATAACAGTGCATGGTTTGTATAATGTCCCTTTCCCTTCGCGACATTTATTCTTGTTGTTGGTTTTTTTTTTGATTTATTGACCTTCTCGTCGTTAGTACCACGTCCGCGGTACTACAGGTTTTGTGCGCTGCATGTAATCTTTCCAACGGGGAACATTCACCGGTTTCATAAACTTCGCATCTGGATCCTTTGGGTAGTCTACGACACGAATGTAGGGCGCAAACGGTGTGAAAAACGTTTTTTGTGGCTCCTTCCAAATGTTTTCCTTCGTTACGGGTGGCAGCACCTCACGTTTGGCCTTCGTGACCTCTGGGTCCTCCACATAGGCGTGTTGGTGCACAAACTCGTGATCGGCATTGACCCACCAGCGGTTGTACCTGTACGGCACCTCCAGCTCCGTCTTTACCTGTCCTCGGAGTGTCTGCTGGCGAATGTAACGCTGCAACGCCAACCGCCTCGGGAGATGAACACGGTGATAGTGTTCCTTGAAGCTATCCGCTGCCCTAGCGCTACGTCGCAGCATGTTGTGAGGTGCAGCTATAAGTTGTGTGTGTGTGTGTGTGTGTGTGGTTGGAGAGATGCCACACACAGAGGGAGGGGGAGAGACTTGCGCAAAGAACACAGGCTGCTCCCTCCTCTTCTATGCGCAGAGACCTTCGGCAGGTACAACGGATGAAGAAGAAAAAGACGGTTGAGATGTCGTTTGTGTCATCGCACGAGAAGTCGCAGGAGACACACTTCCTGGGCGGAAAACTCCGGCAATTGAAAAAGAAATAAAAGTCAAAACAAGGAACACAAAATAGAATCATTTACCGCAAGGGAAACACTTCCATCAACGATTTGCATTGATCACAAACGCACACACAAATGCATACAGATGCGACTAACAGTGGTGTTATTTGTTCGTGAGTAGTTTTTTTGTTTTTTTGTTGTTGTTGCGTTTGCGTTTGTATTTATGTTTGTGTGTGTGTGTGTTCTTTCATCGTCGTTTTTCTTGTTCACTTCTACTCCTTATCATATCAGTCTGTTTTTCCTCGCCATGCTAATTTCCTCGGCCGTTGTACCTCTTTTTCTTTTTGTATAGTAATTGCAACGGTATACAAATCCCACAAAAATCGTTTAATTTGCCTCTCGCTCAACTACCGTTTTCAGTGGCTCATTTCTGTCTGTGTGTGCACATATATGCGTAGTCTCCTCCACTGCGACTGATTGGAAAAGATACAAGAACAAAAAACAGGGGGTTCCCTCCCATAAATAGTGAGAACAACAACGGAAACACTAACAAACAGTTTACTCGCATTACTGGATTGACATGATGGTGACGACATTCCTCAAGC